TCAAGCAATCCAAGAAACGCAAACAAGTTCAAAGTATATCCAGTCATCACTAGATGTCGTTGTTTTAATATTGTCTCTTTGGTTTTATGTTATCCTAGTACTTGGCGATCGTAACTGCCTGCTCCAGATTCTCCACTAGCGGACGCCTACGTTCCAAACGTTCCATTGTTCGTATCACCGAGTACCCGAATAGCTTACGGGCTGCTTACACTGCCATTCATTGTACGCAATCACCGCCATTTTCTTCACTCTGTCTCGCTTCAAGAGTAAGCTTATTTTAGCGACAAACTCATTTAAAATTTAACTGAATGCGTCATCTCGAGTCATTATACTATTCAGTGTGATAAAATATAAAATACCTGATTTAAACTAGTATACCCATAAATCAGGTAAACTATAGAGTCAAGTATGTCAAGCAAATTCTTATATTGGAACCTTTTATTAGTAAAACAAAATAAGTTTCTTCGAAAGGTGGAATTTAAAACGTGCGTACGTAGGTACAATAATAACTTGAAGCAATTGGACAATTGGAAAATTTGGAAACAGTAAGTATTTATGGTGTTTGTTACCTATGTTAATATTATGGGAGAATCCATACTATCTTTCGTATACTATTAACGAGCATTGACATCAAAACTCGTCCTTGCTCTCCTAGTAATTTTAATGTTAGCTCTGTTATGTGCATACTTACGCCAAATTTTCGATTTTTACTCTATACAACAAACGTAGAGTGTTCTAAGCTGGAGAGCAAATGCAAATTCGAATGTGCCGATAATTTTCCAAAAATTAAGTTCTTTTTTTCGTCTTCAAAAGAATAATAGGTTCTCAAATCGCCTTTACTTTTGATGGTCCCTTTTTATATGTATTTTATACATATGTTACTTGATAAAGTATATGGATTTCATATAAAAGGTTGTTGGTGTAATATATAAAATGCACCATATATAATAATTATTTATTTGCCACTTAACAATCCTTTATGTACCTAATTTACGTTTTATATAATTTATTAGAGCACGCTGACAAAGTACATAGTACGTGCGTGACCATGACCAAAGATACTAGACAGACATTAGACAATAGATTAATTTATAGAGTAACTTAATGCTATCATACATAACACATTACATAATATATATATTTCACATATACATACATCGATAACGATGGTTTTCATGAGGTCTGATCAGTAGTTTCTTTGCAAACTTGGAAATATTGCAAATTAACATTTGGTTTGTCACTTAACATTCAAAAGGAAATAAGTACTTTGTTCAAAAAGTTTTTTTTTATCAAAAGATAGTAAAGCTACTACTCATTTTGGAATCGTGTAGCTAAAAGCATTACCAGCAAACGCTCGCCGGATTAATTTGTCAACTTTTGCCTTTAATTGTTTTTCAATTTTTTGGTTAGTTTTATGGTAATTATGATTTTTGTATAGGATACCTTTTACCATGTTTCTGTACCCAAAGGTTAAGCCGGAAACCCTATTGCAAAGACTTTGCAGTATACCCTTCTTTCTATCTATCTAACTATCCGTCTATATGTCTGTCTGGCTCTCTGTCCGTCTGTATCTTTGCCTGCCATTAGGCTGTATCTCAAGAACCGTGATAGACAGTTGAAATTTTCATAGGCGATATATTTCTGATGCTGCTTTAACAAAAAATACTAAACACCAGAATAACATAAATATTTAATGGGGGGGTCCCATAACACTCGTTTACGGTACGAAACCCGACGTGCTCGACTTCACATCATTAAAATAGTGTAGAAATATAACATATTTTGGAAGCAGCCCTTTGTATATATTTTAAGAACGTAAATCATTATGGTAGGAATAATTCTCTTAAAATACAAAAAGAAACAATATCATAATAAGGTGTATTATTGTTATATAATTTTTATAGTCACCTATTTTATGCATTAAAGCCCAAGAAAGTCCGGTTTTTACTATATTTTTATAACTTACCAATTTATTTCTCTGACAATAATATACAATATAGAAAATATACATGAGACGTTTATAGAATATACCATAATACAATTTGTATGAAAACATGTATTTTTGTACATTAATAGGGATAAATAAATTGTATTTAGTCCCTCAGTTAGATAGCATACAAATATAAGACACGTATTCGATAACATACAACGCAACGCAATGTATCGGCGTAATTTATTCATTACGTAAAATTTTTTTAAATATTAATTTATTGTTATTATACTAGCACAAAATATAGTAATCACCATATGGTGTACTAAACTTAAATTTTAGCTTTCAACCATGTTTTACGCTAATGTAATAGCCACATCTTGCTTACCATTGATATCAAAGAGAAAATATTAAAAAAAAAGTAAAACACTTAAAAAGCACCTCGCGAGATGGCGACTCTAGCAAAAGTCGATTTTTGCAGGAAACGAATCGACCAAACATAGTCATTTCCATTCCTTTTAATATTAAAAACTCAAATTTGCAAAGTTTGTAACTTAGATATGAATACAAATACGAAAAACTACAAACAGAATATGAGTTGTTTATTGAGTTTTGAAAATTAATTTACTTTTACACATGAAAGAAGACCGGAAGAGTTGTCATGGAGAAATCAAGAAAGTACCGTAGCGACATCTAGTTTGATTTCGGGAACTAATGTTTTTTTTTAATATTTCGTCACTGTCGCATTTTTGAGGGGAATAAAAAAAGCCAAAACCAGATTATCAAATTCGTTCAATTTCGCATTCACAATGCTATACTGAAATATATTCTTATTTCATTAAGCATGCAGATTGCGATTGCGTGAGTTCGAGTCCCATCTCAGAGAAACCGAGGCTGGTGGAGTTATTTAACATTTTTTCATTAAGAATATTTTGCAGCCTTATCCAAGTTAGAGAATGACCCGTATTTATCAATTTTCCCGTTGTTACCTACACTTTATTTGCCGAGATAATTAGATAGCATAATTCCAAGACTTAGAAATAGAAATATTTCAATTTTGAGTATCATGAGACCTAAATCAGTAAACTTTATTACTTTCGATTATCATCAAGAGTAATAAAGTTAAAGTTTATTTTCAAGTTATATTTCTGTTATATTCATAGGTCTTTTATGGTTTTTACTTAGTTACGGTTTTATGGTTTCATTGTTGAATTGAAATTTATATACTGTTGTCAAACAAATAACAACAAACAAATATTTTGCGTAATAAAAATTTTTTTTGTAGTAAAATATTAATTACTAATGCTGCTAAACAAATAGAAGTTTACTTTTTAAGATTCAAGTGACGATAGACGAACAGACGAGCCGATCTGTTTTCACGTAGCATGTGTAGGATGAATTTATTTTAAGACGTTTACTCACGCGCTATTCTGGTTTTCACGTTTTCCCTTGAACCGATCATGAAGTACGACCAAAGAGAGTATAGCGACCTATTTTAGTTTATTGACTAAAAGAATTTTCTGGAGTACAAAGAGGTTTTATTTTCTGCTCGTGTATCATAGGTCAGTCGGTAATAAGGATCGAGAGACGTCAATCGTTGGGTGGGTAGGAGACAGCAAAGTCAGCCAAATAACATGACTATGACTAATTTGGAGCTGCAAAATATTACGTGTGCAAAATAAAATTCGAATATCATAATAATATTTATTTGTTACTATTAAAGATAAGACGCCTAATCATGTTATCTTTTATGATAAACCTATCTAAAATCAAATATAACTGGCGTATCATTTGTAAACAAAAAGTGCAGTAGCAAACAATGCAAGGCGTAGATGACGTCACGCTCATTCGGTGCAAAGTGCATGTATGCAACTCAACCTCTTCGCTTTTATGCTGTCCTGGTGTTCAATCCTTTTGTAAGCGACACCAAAGGGGCCCTATCCCCTTCGAGCACCCTTCTCTGGGTCAATGCTCATCTGACGGTCAGTGACCGACGTCAACCTTCATCTGTTTTGTTTTGTACGTGTAACATGCGTTGGTCATAGTCATATTTCACTTTTCATTTCTGTCAATTGATATACAAATTAATATATTTATTTAGTAATTCTCGTTTTTTCTATGCCAAATAGATGTTTAATTAAAATTGGAACCAAATTAACGCCAAGAAATTGGAACCAAAAAAACCTAAAGTACACTTCCAGTAACAGGAATTATAAGTATGAATGAAAGGATAAGGTTGCATCAAATTGAATGTAATATCTCTAACAGGAACTTGTTCTACAAGGACTGCATAAAAAAGCGGCAGTAAAGTGCAATTGCATTTATAAAAAACATGACGTTGTGTATGACTTGCGTATAATAAAATTAAGACTATAATAACTATAATAATAGGTATACCTTGTGAAGTAACAGAATATTAACAAGGTCTTTAGTTGCCATCTCTGGTAACTCGGCATTCAAGTACATGCGACTAAAATGGTTACCAAAAGGCAGTTCCTCTGTTGCTACTACATACCTATATGGTCTTATAACCTTATCTTTAATCAAGACTTCTTTTGAAATAAATCCATTTATTGAGTCAATATGCATTTTATAAAAAAAAGCAGATGGTTTAAATGAATTTCAGAAATCAGGAAAAATGCGTTTTTCTTTAAAAACAAATGGTCGGTATCAAATCTCTCAACCTCGTTCCAATTTATAAGGGAATCTGGCACATTTTTCTATAAATAACTGTGAGGAATAATTTGCGCTCTTTGGTTGGTTGAAATATTCTCAACAACCCATATAGTGATTTCAAAGAGTTTAAAATAATAATATATTTATTATACCTTGCTAAATTATAATTTTATATAAATATGTACCAAGATCGTGATAAAATTTACATAAACATATAACATGTTTCAGTTATTTTTGTACACATTTTAGGGTAAAAAATAGAGGTGCAATAAAGTTTCCCATTATTTCTTACAAAATATATCGCTAACCCGTAATCATATACATTCGTAAGGAGATATTTCGGTCGTATGTACGAAAGTTTCTGTGGCGTATCCGTTAGCACAGCAGCGGTAGAGATTTCCCAGCGTATAAAACACGTTATATTTCTGAGTATCGGTTATTTTGTTTCCACCTTTCGTGACAGAGCCATCTAGTGAATAGCTCGTGAAACTCGTGTGCGGCTAGTAAAGTGCATATTTTGTGAAGTGTTTCAAGTTAAATCGTAAAAAATCAAAATGCCTGGTCGTCCTATTTGGCAGGTAAGCTAATAATCATAATATATCTTCAATTACAATTATTTATAATACTTAGCATTATTTATAAATTATTACAATTTTGTAATAATATTACTTCAAAACTGTTTATTTGGTTAGTTATTACCTTTTTAAACTTTAGGAAATGTGATAAAACAATTAATGATCATACTGATTTTATTGTTTGTTTAAAATGTGATAATGTTAAGTAAACGTGCTTGGATGTATTTTTACATACGAATAGTGAAATTATAATAGCCTTTGAATTATTGTAACTTTCCATTATTTTATGTTATTTTAAATTATTATAGAGTCATTACGTTTCGAATAAACTCGAGATCATTTTAGGAATACTTCTACATTATTAATTAGTTTAATTATGTGTAGGTATACTGGAACTAATACTTTTACGGTAGGTTAAATGTTCATTAGAGAGCTACCAGTCCCTACCTTGCATAGGTACTCGTAGGTTGGTTTCGTTCTCTTAATTTTTTTTACATTTACCTTGTTCTAATAATCGTACAACAAGCACTCATGACATATTTTTCTATTTATATACTTTTTTTTTATTTATACACAGATTACATTATTTTTATTTATAGATAGTTAAATTACAGAAGTATATAGATGCCAAAACTTTTTTATTTGATTATAATTTTCAATTTATTTTACATCTTTATATTTACTTTACAAACTTTGTTGACCTTGTTTCACCTGAAAATAACAAGCAGGTAAACAAGGTGTAACACAAATGTCAGGGAATTGGCACAGGATCAAGAATTTTACTTCGTCATTTGAAAATTTCGTCATCGAACTTTTTTTTTAACAGAATATGCGTTTTACCGACTCTTATAAGATAAATTAAAAAAAAATACTTTTATCGTATTGATTTATTCACATATCCATTTAATACAGGAAGTTTTTCCGTTTTTTTTATTATAAGGTGACTTAAATTATATTTTGTTGATGCTTAATAAATTCACTATGTACGAATTTACTTTAAAAAATAATAATAACTTAACTGTTTTACATATTATACAGTCTACACACATTGAGGTTTATGATTGGAAGGGTTGCGTGACGCCATTACTTATACTTGTATAATGTATGCATTATTTTATGGAATAAAATAAGAATACAAGACAACCGATAATTATGAGAAATAAATGAATAATCAGAAAATATTTTATATATTAGTAAATAGCAAATTATTACAGACGTCTTTATTATTTAACTTAATTTAACAACAAATTTTTAATCTCATTGTCATGTTATAGTTTCTTAAGCTTAAAAATATTTACAAATTCATAAATCTGAGAATAATTAATTAAATTAGCGTTCATCAAAATAAAATTAGCTAAGTAATACAGTATAATGTTAAAACAAATATATTATAGGTTGTCATAAAGAAAGTATTTCAAAGATTTTGTCAATTTATATTACTTTTTTAATATTGTCACAGGAAGATTAGCGGAAATACAAAAAAGTAACTTAATATTTGCTAATAATCACAACAAATAAAATAAAATAAAGTGACTAAATTAGAGTATTTAGAATGTAGAGTAGTTTAGAAATGTGGTGAACTTGGACCTTCAAAATTAACATCTAAAATCACTGATGCTTACTTATATGCTACACAGATATAGTCCATATTTTGTTTTTTAAATAGTTCACTATTCATTACGTCTAGAATAATTTTATAGCTTTTTCTCGCTTTTTTTACTCGGATGATGTTTCACATCACTTATCAAGTAACTTGCTGGGAGGTTATGAAATAGTTGTTGCAGGAAACTAAGTAAAATATCTTCAATTGTTTTTGATAAAATGGGCCGAAGTGATTCCGAGACTGGTCGCCAATTCGCGTTTAAATATGCGTTGGTAGAGTCCTCTGTAAAATAAAAAGTTAATTAATGTTTTATAAATCTAGATATACACTATAAGTGTATTAATATTAAATACCAATTTATAAAAAAAAAATCAAAACAAAACCTAATTCTGTTCAGTCAATTTTGGAAATAATGTGATTTGACTATGTCAAAAAATGACCTTCAAAATGATTGGATTTTAATATAAAATTGGCAACGTTTGGTCCAACGGACAATCACAACGGTCCAACGTTGCAATTTGCCCCACGAGATCACTAGGATCACATGAAAGGAAGTCAGTATGTTGACGATTAAACAGCGCCGAAATAAAACACTAACGCTTAGTAACGCTACTCCTCACTAGATGGCGCAAAGATGACAAAGCTCAAACAACCTGGGATAGATGGCGTTACATTATGGAAACATCCAATATTCTACAATAAATTGTATAATTTAAAATTAAATAGTCATACCCAAGGAATCAATTCCATCGAACAGATTGTTCATGCGCAACTTCAATCCTCCAATAGCATACTTGACATGGGCAGAAGTAACGTTGAAAAATATTAAGCCATCTCTGTCGTATAGCTTAACATCACTAAGGATGTCTATTGTCATATTAGCTGAAAAATAATTGTCATGAGATGTGAAATATTAAACAATAGGTACATATAGTTAGGATACTGGTTTCATAATACATATTTATATTAGTGACTCTATTATCTAGTTACTTACTAGGTTCAAACCAGCAGTTGCCATGCCCAACCAAAGGTATGACCAAAATCTTGCCCTTTAAATCATAAGTACCTTCTATTCTAATTTTTGGGACTCTCACTTTTGTATAGAAATTATAAGTTTTGCTATCGACCCTGAAAATAATAAATAAAAGATTATCATAAATATTTTCGATTAAAATTACCATTACTTTGTATAATTTTCTAGTTTACTTTGACCTTAACATAAATATACGCAATGATATTGCACATATCGCATAATTCTATTTTATTCGCTAACAATCGAGATACAAATCATAATGCAAATAACGTAGGCGGACTGTGTGGACTAGTTGCCTGATTTTTATCTACTCTACTTACGATGTTTTGCTCAACTCAATCGATCAAACAGTCGACTATAGTACCAGGCTGGTATAAACATGAAGAGTAATTTACTTACTGGCTGACCAGCACTTCGGTCTTGCCAAAACCACTGACAGTGACATCATCCAAAGCCGCGTTGACGTTTACCGGTCCCTCGCCTTGCAAAATTCTGATTTTCGGTATCTTCAGAGGATCCAATGGTTGCATACCAATTTCTGGACGCCCTGAAACGTTAAAGTAGTTTGTATGTCTATTATCGGATTCACAGACACCACAACACTATCATCATCCCATCGCACTAGCATGATGAAGAAATAGCGCTTTCGCTTTCCGCAAGTTATGTACAGATGTTTCGTAATTGAGGCTATATGACTAGCTCAGTCGCTTGTGAACTTACCGGCTCACTATGTTTCCAACTGTCAATTTAAATTCATAATTTACGTACGCATTTTCAAATAATCAATTAAATTAAAAATAAATCTAATTAAAATAAACAAAAAAGTCAATAATTCCAACACAAATGGGGAATAGTGCCAGGAGTGCAGAATTATCAAGGAGGTTATGAGTTGCATGAGCAGCAGTTGGTTTAGTTGTGCAACGCGCGCGCTCTGCAACCGTGCCGGTTTGTGTAGGTAGACTGGTCCACCGATGGGTAGGGTCAACAGTCACAGCAAACATTTTGTTTGGCAACGTTATTCAATCTACGATAAACTTATGTTCTAATTTTTGCTTATTGAGTACAATGTCAGTTAAACAGCAATTCTCTTTTCCATGAATACTGAGGAATATATTAAGGTTTTATACAATAAATATATTCTATAATTTACCGATTATTAAAATTTGTACCTGGACCGAGAGCATTAAACAACTGCTGTACTGCCGTACGAGAGCATTCCTCGAACTCTGGATCACTTCTCGTACATGTTTTCACGAAATCCGCTGAAAATAATGAATTCATTTTTTAAAGTACATATTTAGGAATGTCAAAGTTGGTGTAGTTGGCAAGATAAACAAGTGGCATCATACTGTATATAAAGTGATACAGTCTAATCCTCTGTAGCCACGCATATTATCTTTTCAAACAATTGAACCTAGTCACGAATCGCATTTAAGTAATATACTAAAATTGGGTATTTAAGTAATTAAATGTAGAAATGCATTTATTAGACGAAGTACGTTAATATACGAGTATATTAGCTAATTTTATAAATATTAAAGCCAATAGTTAAATATTAATGAATATTTTGATATTTATTTTGAAATAGTTCAGCTCTGTTATTGCACTATTTATTAGTCATAGGCACAATTTGATTATTGAGTTGTCCATGGCTACATATTCAGAGTAGAACATTGAATTTTTTAAAATACAAAAATAGAAATATTTAGCAGCTGCTCTTCTAGACACGATGCCAAACAAACAACAACATAACTTCATTCGAATATACTAGACCAACGACTTGGCAAACAAGCTGAATGGATTTTTTAAGAATTTGATGACACTAAAAGTTATAACAAAAACATGAAATAATTTTGTGATTAAATTACATTGATAGATAAAACTAAATAACTAACTCCTTATCCTTATTACGAGACAAAGGCAAGACTATTAGCCTGATACAAATACGAGAAAAACGGAAATAATTCGATATAAGCCTGGAATATTTTTAATCGACTCTGTGAGCTAATTCTAAGAGACTATATTTAAGAATCCATCTCATTTTAGCTACGGAAGGTATAAAAAAAAAACATCAAGTCAAAAAACCTTCATTTCCTTCACGCAAAATTACTAACACGACTTTTTTCACAAATTTTGGTTTTATTTATCATAACGACAATGAAAATTACTGAAATCCAAGTAAAAAAATTACAGGAATTAGATTTTTTTTTAACTTTATGTTTACCTTTTTTTTTAGTAGTTTAATATGATAAAACTTTTATTTAAAGTATTTCTGAGTGGATTTTAATGATTTTTAGTAGTGTTTAACTCAAAAGTCTGCTGCATATATTGCGTGTTATATTTTTGCTTCATAAATAATTATAAGAC